GTATAAAATAAAATATAATTGTAGAAATCGTTTATTCATTTATAATTTTCTTCATTTTTCGATCATTTTCTTCATTTTTCATAAAATGGAACTTCTTCATTTGAATTGTTTAAAACACGTTTCTTGTGAGAGGGTTGCTATTATCTTGTTCGCAACTGTATACATATTAATCTGCAAATTATGAGTAGAGTTCTTCTTAATATCTCTTGATTCTCATTCGCTTTGTTGTCATTCGCTGCTAATTTAAATGACAAAATTGCCCAATGAGCTCAGCCAGCTGAGGGCGATGATGATGACAACAGAGCAACTCAATGTTTGGATTGATAGTGTATATATATCTATATATATAATGTGGAATGATGATTAAATGTGTTTGCTCACATATGAGGATGAGTTTTGCTCGGTGGGTGGTCAATATACTCATCAAGCGTTTCAATTAGCCCAAGAAAAGATTGTAATAAAAGCAGAACAAGTATGAAGTATCCTCAAAAGTATTTAAAAGAAGAAAAGAATTTCAAGATTCGTCTCAATCATTTTTAGATGGTACACTCAATATCAAATATATCTGTGTGATTTTCCTGCTAGCCATTACAGACATCTATCAATTAACACGTTTCGTTATCCAATTATCCGTTTGAATAATAAAATCAGCTCCATTTCAAACCGGCTAACTGCTCTCCCATATTATATAAACTAAATGGCATCTCTCTGTCTCTCTCTATCTTCCTCTCTCTCTCTTTCACACTTAACAGCTGCTGTGTGCAACAACAAAGCCCACGTCAAGTGCCATTGAGAAAGACTTTCGTTTTCATTAAATATAAGAGGCAGGTTAAGATCACGACTCAGAGACTGACCATACATAAAATAAACCAGTCACTGATTCAGTCAAAGTCCACTTATGCTTAACTCCCTGCCCTAACGCAAGCTCTTCACTTGCAACAACTTGTGCCCTTGCCACATTGCATCAATCAGTCGACAACAACAGCACTTCAATAACACAAAACTCAACTGAATTCGATCGTTTGTGGTGGCAACTTCTTAGATACCATCAAAGACGCAGCAGAAGAGGTGGAAAAATGAGAAATGTACAATGTAAAATGTATAACAGCAAAGTTGTCAAGTGCAGGCCAGTTCATTGGTATACCCTGTACCTTGTTAGAGGCAAACAAAGGGAATATAACTTTGTATGTTGTATGGAGATGAAGGCTGCATTTAAAGTAGAAATAAAGTTGATAATAATATTATTATGGATAGCAAGAAATAAAATTGATCTGATTTTATTTCTCTCAATGGATAATAAATTAATGAATGAATCAGCGAAATTATATCTCTAGACAGACAGAGAGTCAGAAGGAAATAGTTAGATGGAATCGTTAAGAACATATATATACTTGACGGGTTTGATTATGCTTTTATCAGTCTGTTAAACACTCTTACACAACTTCACATATTTCAACGTTTTCAAATATTTATTTGTTCTGTAGGATATTCTTACGTCGTGCATTTGGAACGCATTGAATACTTTCCTTTTACATTTTATATCTGGCTGCTGAGTATTACAGGCATTTACATGGCAAAAGCTGTTGCTAAGCCAAGCTAAGACAGACAGACAGATAGACAGATATTTGCTGCATTACTCATTCAAAATTCTCAGCAGGCAAAGTCAAAGGCACAGCAGCAGCATCTTCTTCTTCTTCCCCTGATGTTGCTGTGGTTATTTTTAATACCAAGCCACATAATTCGTAGTAATTTGCCAGCCGCTTTACATTTGCCAGCTGCATTTGTCAGTTTGGCTTTGACGTGCCACACTCAAGGGGCAGAAGTAGAAGTAGAGGAAAATTAAGCAAGAGGCAGCCAGAAGTAGGCAAGAGGAGGCAGGCCGGCTGAGACTCCACTTGACTGCCTTCGACGACGTCACACGTAAATGTGCAATCTGTACACAAGTAATCTATGCATGTACACTCAGAAAAAACTCGGCATAATATAGAAAGTTGCAGTTAAATCAAAATCGCAAGGCTAGAAGAAAAATTGCTGATTTTCAGAAATTATTTATAATAAGCGAAAGAAAGCTTCCTAATACCATATCGAAACTTTAATTAAGATAGAGAAGCATGATTTTTAGAAAAACCTTGGCTTGTTTTATTGCACTTGGTATTTACTCAATATTGCAGTTGATCAGTCAATTTATCAGTCTTTCTAATACTAAAACTAACAATGAGTCATCAACATCATTCAAACATTCCACCACACAAAAATTAGTCATCACATAACTGTTTGACCGAGGAGTGTCCCCTCCACCGCCCCTCCCCCCTCTGATGACAGCACAACAGTGTCGTCAAACAAGCAACAACAAACAACAAACTAAAAACCATCAGCAGCAATTTTAAATTACTTTCGCAACAGCGATGAATATTAAATACCCTAGATGCAGAAAAAGAAACAAAAAAAAGCTCCTGTCTACAGACAATAAACATTCCATTCATTTGGCTTTGTATGAATCAGCATTCATAAATATTTTGTATAAAAAAATATATATTAGACTAATGTTTTTTGCGAATCGTTTCGAAGCCAGCAAACTTTTTTACCTCCATTTTTTATGATAGACTTATTCCACGAAATGTGACAAATGATAATGACTAATTTGCGCTTTGAAACCAGTTTTTGAAATAGAATTTTATCAACTGGAACTCTTCTTTGCAGTGAAAGTAAACCAATTTTAGTATATTTGTAAACTTATTCATGGATATGTTTTGAAATAAACAATTGTCTTATATTAAGATACAGTTTCAATGACATGAAAATAATTGAATTTCATTTTTAAAACAGTTAATAGACTTGAATTAACTTTCTTTACTCTTCATCTGAACTTTTGAAGACCATTTGAACTTGATTACACATAATAAACCAATTTTGAGGTGGTTTAAAAGAATTTTATTATATTTATAAGCTGGTTAATAGAATTTAATTATTCAAGTAGTTTATTGCCTTGGATTCTCTCTTCTTTTAGCTATCGTTTAAGAAGCTTACACATATTAAATCAATTTTGAGCTGGCTCAAAAGAATTTTATTAGATTTTTGAACTATTCCCTTTTTTGAATATTAGTCTCTCTCTCTTTATTTTACAAGTGAACTTTTGAAGCCCACTTGAACTAGTTTATAGCATATTAAATCAATTTTGAACCGGCAGAAGCACTTTTGCAGCACTCTTGAACCGGTTCACATTCACATTCAAATAGTAAAATTACGCTCGGCACAATTGAATCAAATTTTATTTGGTTGACTTTAAAGTGCGCTTAATTGAAGCGACCTTTAGTGTCATGCCCGTGTGTTTTGTATTTGTGGCACTGGCATTGGGGAGAACATACGACTCGTGCCCCCCTTCTCCCTCCCCCACCCTCTCTTGCACCCCTTTCCAATTGTTCAGGCCAGCTGGCCAGCTGGCTAGCCCACCCACACACGCTACGACAAATTTCTCAGCTAATTTCATTGATGAATTTTTATTAAATAAATTATTATAATGAGCTTGATGAACTTGTTATTGTTGTTGTTGCCCCCTCGAGGCACGTTGCAAGTCAACGAACGAACGAATGAACGGACGTCAAGCGAAGAGTGAAGAGCAGCGAGCAGCGAGCAGAAAGAGAAGAGAGAGAAGCAACAACAAACAAAGCGCCGCAAGAAATTTGGCACAAATTGGTTTATGGGGCAAAAGAAAGAAATTGGCGACACTAAAAATGTGGCGCGTGTTTGCACTTTAGCAAAAGCAACCCACCCCTCCCCCCCACCAATTACAATCACATGAGAGGAGAGAGAGGAAAGCAGAAAGGGAGCTGCTCTAGCTCCAGTTCTATGGTTTGCTAGCCAACAATCAGCGCTGAGAAACTTTGGCAAACAATGCTGTGCGCTACCACCAAAAATAGCTCAAAATTAAATAATTCTCAGAAATCTAAGCTTTGTCTTCTGCTTCTTTTACTTCTTATCGGTTGGGGGGAGCTCTATAAATAGTCCGGGGCCACAGCTATTATTAACTAGCAGAAGAACAAAGGGAAACAAAGTGCGTCGATTGGGCGAACAAATGTTTGACCAACTCAAATAGTCGCCGAGATAAGGGAATAACGAAGTGAATAAATGAATGAATGAATGGATTTGTGAATGAATATTGGAAAGTGTTTATTGAACAAGTTGAGATTTTGTCCAACATCATCAACGGTAAAATGAAAAATGTTAATTGCAATTAATAAATCAATTAAAGAGTTGGCATATTCATTAAAATAAATAATCGATTTTTAATATTCCTCACGGATTGGTAATGAGAAATTATGGTAATTAACTAAAGAAAGAGAGAAAGAGAGTCATTTATCACAAACTATTCATCATTTATTGTCTAGCTAAAATGAGCATCAGAATAATTTATTTGATTTTATCGATACGCTTTTGAACTGAGAAAAAAGGGAATAATAAAGTTTGGAAAAAGTGTGTAACAGGCAGAAACCTCAGATGTATTATATATCATTAAGATTATATTGGAAACATAGATTTTGTTAACCAACATTAAAAAGTATTTAAAAGCAGAGTATCTCCTAGTCGATCTCTCTCAAGTGTCGCATTCCAACTTCATTTCAGTTTCAATTAGATATTCCTCATTTATTAACCTGTTGACAACTAATCACAGCATTCGGATTTGATAAATCTGCGTGATTAGCTGCGATATACATAGATTATGTATGTGATCAATGAGTAATCTTTTGATTACATATTACCCAATCCGTGAGTCACATAAAAGTTGGGCTATGCATCGATTTATCAGGCAGTTTATTTTTAAAACAAATGATTTCACATCTTGGACAGCGAGCATTGGTGCATTTCTTTCTTCTTTCGCTCAGATATCTTATTTTGTTTTTTTCTTTTTGGTACATTCTCAACTTGAACTATTTTTTAAGTATTTCTATTTCCTAAGTTATAAGATATACTTATATATACACAAGTGATTATCTTGGACTTACCTTTCAGTCTCGGATTCTGCATTTGGTTGCTGCTGTAGCTGTTGTATCTGTTGCTGTGTGGTTGTCGATGTTGTTGCTGCTGCTGCAGGTGTTGTTGTTGCCGTAGCAGAATTAGTTGCAGCTGTAGCAGTTGTTGTTGCTCCAGCTGCTGTTGCTGCTGCTGTCGATTGTTGTTGCTGTTGTTCATCGCTTAAGCTGAGCGATGTTGTCGTTGCATCCACTGCTGTTCCAGTTGCAATTGCATTCGTTAAATTCACATTCACATTCACATTGTTGTTGTTGTTGTTACTGTTATTGTTGGCACTAACACTCGCGTTACTTGTTGACGTTGCTGTTGCTGATGTTGCAGCTGCTGCTGCTTGCGATTGCAGCTCATCGAGCACGCCGGCAACAACCAATTGCTGCACATCAGCAATGGTTGCTGGTGCGCTTTGCATAACTGTTGCTGCTCCTGCTGCGGACGTAGCAACAACTGTTGCTGGCGGCTCATAGCTGCTCATGTGCAGCAATGGCAACGTTTGCCCTTGGGTCGCAACACCAATTGTTGCTGGCGTGCTAGTGGAAGTTGTTGAAGTCGGTGCTGCTGCTGCGGCAGCAACTGTTGCCACGATACCATCGATTTGCGATGGCTCCAGCTGGAAGTTTGACGACGACGGCGGCGGTAGCTGTTGCCCGGCAGCAACAGCTGCAAATGTTGGCGGCGTTTGTTGTTGTGCCGGCGACAATGGTTGCTGCTGCTGTTGTTGTTGCTGCTGTTGTTCGATGTAGCTGCCGCTCATGACAGTCAGCTCACCAGCAACTGTTGCTGCAGTCGTGCTGCTGCTGTTGTTGTTGTTGCTGCTGTTGTTGTAGCCAGCAACATCCATAGCAGCAACTGCTGCTGCTTGCTCCTGTTGCTTCAGCTGTTGCAGCGATTGTTGCAACTGTTGTGCGGCAGCCGTTGCATAATCCATGGGTAAGGTCTGACCATGGGGCGTGCCCTCATTTGTGGCATTAGGCGTGGCACCACCAGCATTGGCATTAACACTATCAAAGAGTTGCTGTTGCTGCTGTTGTTGTTGCTGTTGTGCCTCGTTCACAAATTGTTGCATGCCATGTACGACTGTGGCAGGTGCTGTCATTACGCCACTGGGCGTGGCAAGTGCTGACACAGCTGGATGCAATTGTGGATGTTGTTGCTGCTGCAGCGATTGCTGTTGCTGTTGCAGCAGCGACTGTTGCAGCTGTGCAGCATGCTGCTGCTGCTGCTCAGCAAAATTCCAATTGGCGTCCGATGCGGCGGCAGGCGGCTCATGATGCAACATTGTCGGCGGCAGTATCATGCTCTGCGTTGTCTTCGGTGCACCACCACCACCGACTCCTGCTGCTCCCATGCCTGCTGCCCCCTCAAACCCGTCGGCCGTGCCGCCGCTTGGCGATGCCTCCGAGTTGCCAGTCTTTTCATTGTTATTGCCGGCACCGCCACCACCAGCACCAGCACTACCCCCGCCAGCACCACCACCACCAGCTCCGCCGACACTGGAGTGATCCAGATAATCCATGCAGATCCAACGACCACGCTTAAACGGCTCTGTCGACTCAATTTTGACGACCTTGAAACGTTCACTGCGATGCTGAGTCTCCTTCATATCCTCGTGCTTCTTCTTGGTGCCACCGGGTGTGACAACACCACCACCACCAGTACTAACCACATTGATTATATTATCCGCCACGTTCACCTGAACATTCTGGATGGTCTGGCCGCCGAGAGAAGAGGGCGCTGTGGGATCGACGACGACGAGACCATATTGTGAACTGGTTGGGATGACGGGTGCCGTTGTGCTTAACGCATTGTTGGCAAAGAATACCTCCTCCTTGGAGAATGTGTCCTCGGACATCGAGGGTGTCTCGTTCTCGAGATCGGTGATCCGACTATTGTCATCCGTATGAGATTCATCTAGATCATCGGCGGACTCATCGCCCGTATCGCCACCGGCTGCATTCAATTTGGCATGTCCAACCGTAACGGACGTGATTTGAAATGAGGATGTCGTCTTTGGTTTGCGCTGATTGTTGCTGGCGGCGGCGGTGGCAGCAACACCAGCAGTGCTGCCACCAACTGTTGCTGTTGTCGGCTGATGTCCCTGGCTGTGGCTGATGTGTGGCTGCTGTTGCTGCTGCTGGTGATGATGATGATGATGGTGGTGATGATGATGATGGTGCGGCTGTTGTTGTTGCTGCTGTTGCAGCTGTTGTTGCCACTGTTGCTGGCTGTTGCGTGGTGCAACAGTTGCAGCTGCTGTGCCACCACCATTGTTGTTGGGCGAACTGGCTTTGCTATTGTTGCTGCTGTTGTTGCTGCTATTGTTGCTGCTGCTGCCAGTTGCTGTTGCCGTTGTTGTTGCTCCTGTTGCTGTGGCCGATTGATTATTGCTGCTGCTACTGCTGGTTGATTTGGGCGCCAGCGATGCGCTCGATGTTGTTGTGGTTGTTGCAGCAGCAATGCTGCTGCTGTTGCTGCTCGCACGCGATAGATCAGCAAGTGTTGCTGCTGCGGCTGCAGCACCACGACTCAACGCATTCAAACGCAAACTTTCGCTGGTGGTGCGTTGAATGTTGCTGCTACCGTGACTGTTGTTGCTGTTGTTGGTGTGGCTATTGTTGCTGTTAGTATTGCTGCTGCTGTTGTTGGTGTTTGTGTTGCTGCTGCTGTTGTTCTGTTGCGCATGCGCCTGATGATGATGCAAATGCGAGGCATGATGATGATGATGCAAGTGTTGCTGCTGCTGTTGCTGTTGCACATTGCTGCCGCCGAGTGAATTGTATTTGGCCAGCGGTGGTTTCTTAATGCTGGTCGTACTCACCACACTGACGCTACCACGTGGTGGATTCTGCATGGAGTTGCGACGCGGTGGCGCATTGCCAGCATTTGTGGCGCCACCTGTTGGCTTAAACTTGGTATTCAATGGACGATCGAACATGTTGTTGCTGTTAACTCGTTGCTGTTGCTGTTGTGTGCCTGCCGATTGCCGGCGTGCTGTGGATGTTGCAGCGCCAACTGTTGCTGCTGCCGTTGCAACTGTTGCTGCTGTTGTTGTTGTGTTTTCTTGCGAGTTTTCGGGTGAGGAGGCGGCTGAATTGCTGCCACTTGCCTGACTGCTGCTACTATTAGCAATTGTTGTTGCTGCTAATGCTGCTGCTGTGTTGTTGCTGGCGTGTTGTTGCTGTTGATGTTGATTTTGCTGTTGTTGCTGACCGGAATCTTCGTTGGCAGCGCTTTGATTCTCGGCCATAATCGAATTGGATTTCAGCGTGCGCAAAGTTTTTAGCAAATAATCCAGTTTTGCTGACAATTTTCTGGATTATTTGAATTAAATAAATATTTTATTTTTTTTAATGTTTTTCTTTCTTTCTTCAAGTGTTTATTTTGTGTGTGTTGTCAGATTTTGTTGTTGTCTGTGGCAACTAGTTGCTGTTGCAATGTTGCTGCTGTTCTTGCTGCTGCTGATGCTTGACGGCAATTGTTGCTATTGCTGGCGTTGTTGCCAACGATGATTTGCCCACTTCAAAGATGAAATTTGCGGCTGCCAAACGACGACGGCGATACATAATAGCGACCGTTGCGTTTCAGTTGCAATCGATTGACTGATTGACTGACTGACTGATTAACGGACTGATTGACGACGACGATGATGAGCGAGAAAACGCGCGAGACGCGAAAGGTAAATAAAAATATTATTTATTGCTGTTGTCGCAATTATTATTGTTGATTTTGTTAGATGGCGCGTAATAAATTTTAATTTATTTTGCATTTATTATTAATTTATTATTACACAAAAATAATAATATAAAAAAAGGCGCCCAATACAGCGCCATCTAGCGCTTGACTTTGCTTACAGACACACATACATTTGCACTAATACACACACACGCACACACAGCACAGCTGTTGTTTATTTGATTGATTAATATTATTATTATAATTCACTTAAATCGAGCACAAATATTATTTATTTTATTTTATTCTCAATTATTTTTGTTATAATTTATATTTATTTATTTATTATTATTTTTATCTACTTTTAACTAAGAATTTTAATTTAACTTAATGAAATTAAAAACTTGTTATTGTTGTTGTTGTTGCTTGCACTTCTCACACACGGAATTAATTTATTTTGTTTATCGCGGAATATTAATTAAATTAAACAATTTCTTTGTGGACCCCGTTTACTGACAGCAATGCAGTAAACTTGAGAAATGTAATTCCTGCAAAAAGACAGAGACGAGAAAGAAATGCAATGCAAATATAAATATTAGTATTAAATTCAATTTCACAATTGCAGATATAGATGTGTACACCTAAGTAATACTAGTGATAAACAACAACAACCAGTCAGTCTTAAACACTGCAAAATTCAATCGACAAAAGTGCTAATAACAAAATAAAGTAAAACTGACTACGCAAAAAGGAAAGGAGAAGTTTCCTCTGCAGCTGGATTAAATTAACTAAAAAGAACATCTAAAATACTAAACATTTTGTACTCTACTTTTGGGTCTATTATTGCGTATACTATATTTATATAGCTGGGGAAGAAAAAATATCACTAAGATCTTTTCCGCCAGGAAATGAAATTGGAACCGTGAATTTATTGATTGAAATTAAAGTATTCAAAAATAAATACTAAGTAAAAGGAAATATTTAAATCGGAATCTGACTGAACACAAATAACTAATTGTATATATCCCCAAATACCGAAAACGAAAGTATTTGTGTCGAAGGAAACCATATCGGAACTTTAACATTCTGGGAAAACATTCTACGTTTGATCCCTTTGTAGTCACATTGAAATCTGTTTTTAAATCTTGAACCCATTTAAAATGGGTAAGATGGATATAACCAGCAGAGTGCAGAAGAAAGCAACTCTTCCACCTTATAAGGTATATAGATTGTTGATCGGTATCAACAGACGAAAACAGCACAATGACTCCTAAACTTATTTGTTAATCATAATTATAACTTAAGACTTTAATTTTTTAACATCTGTCTAATGACTTCTAATGGAGTTTAGATCTGACTGGGTTTCGTTATTCGTGTTTGATCGACTTATGTTTATTTTAATATTTAAATTAAATTCAAGTTGTATTCTTTAATCTTTTCCAAGCTCAGCTCAGACAACATTTTTCAAGATCTGAACTGTTGAAGAGTGCTATATTTATTGCCCAGCACTGTATACTGTATACTCTCCAGCTATATATTTGGGCAGTCAAACCCTAGCTATATCTGTATCTGTTCTGTAGATGTATTTGTATGTCTGCTAGTAGTAGATATTTAATAACTGCGTAGTTCCACTGTTGCCTCTGATTAAGTATTTTGTTGTTGCTAATGATGATGATCATCATCATCATCAATCAGAGATGATGATGATGATTTTGAGTTTTCTTTGCTTGTGTGTTTTTTTTTATATTGATTTCATTATTTCCGTTTAACGTCGTAGTTTGTTGAATTAGTTAAGTGCCACATTAGAGGGCTTCCTTTTTTTTCCACTCATTTGACTGCATTATTGTTTTGTTTTCTTTTTTCTTTGCCACAGTTTTTAATATTTTAAATATTTGCTTTTGTTTTTTTTGCACTTTTTATTATCTCTCAGTTTTTTGCTTTTATTTCGATTTGTTTTTGCATTATTTAATTGATTTCGTTTACGGAAATAAACGCGCAATTGACGATGCCAAAATCAACCAAAAAAAAGTCTGTCAACAATTTTTAAGCTTTGCATATGGACGCATTGATACCCTAGAACATTTTCATCTGAGGTTGACATTTTTCGATTTACAACTATATTATTAAGATTGCATTCACCGAATTAAAAATAGTTCAGCTTTCTAACATTTGTTTTTTGTTATTCTTTTCTTATTTTAAAAATAAGATCTCTATAATTAGTATGCCCGTTGTGCCACTGCCCCCAAAACAAAGGTTTGCAAAAAAAAAGCTGCGTAAATGAACGGACATGTTTGTGCTTGTCGTTTTTGTGTTTGTATTTGTTAATAGCCGTAAAGCTTTGGCGATCATTCATAAATTGCGTGAACTGTTTAACTTTGCTGAATGTGTGTGTGTGTGTGTTTGAGTGTGTGTGTGCGGGCGCGTGTCTTTGACGTTTTGAACTCTTACGTGAGCCCCCGTCCCGAAGGCAAAGTCAAGACCTTGGGGCACGCAACGTGAAGAAACAACAAACAAACAATCGAAAAAAACAGCATACTCAAAATAAAAAACAAACGATTTATATTTGAATGTGGAGAGATATATGTATGACAAATCAGTTATAGGTCAACACTGGTCAGGGTTCTCAGCAGGTGCTAGAGAGAGAGAGAGAGAGAGAGAGAGAGAGGCAGAGAGATAGGGAGATTCTATTGGCCTTGCTGATCGCCCTCTTGCTCTTACTCCAAGTGATTTAGTTTTTAAGATTTGTTGCTGTATTTCGTTTAAGGAACCAAAAAAAACACGTTTTAACTACTAAACAAATTTTGGAATGTGATTTGAGCTTTTTGCTTGAATATATGAATAAAATTATGATTTAATTTGAAAGATAAAAATGCTATTTAATCATACAATCGATAGTTGTAGTATAAATATTCCCTTTAGACTATCGATCAACTTTTAGAAGACTATTTGAACATCGAAACAATTTTGATGCGTTCTTTATCATGTGAAATGGCATTTTGCAAATTTTGAATTAGCTTTTAGACAGATAAATTGTAGTTTATAGTTGTAGTTCAAATATTGCCCATCGATATACTTTCAGCATTTATGAATTAAGTTTTGTTCTCCAATAATTATCCAGATAAACATATTGTATAGTTTCCATACGCATATAATCGATAGTTGAATTTAAAATATTGCCATTAAACAATCGATAACTTTTAGATTTATTCATAAAATTATTAACAAATTTTTAATTATTGGAACACATGGCATATCTCTAATTGTTAAGGGTATTCCCTGTTCTATATCCTAGTCAAAACCATTAAATAATCGCTCCAATTTTGATTGTTTTATTCTCCGTTGTGATTAGGGATAGATAAACATTTAACCATTTAGATTTATATTAGTGGCATTCATCTCAAAGATAAGCGTTAAATATTAACGAGAATTGCAAATGTAGCCAGCAAAAGTATCTGATGAATGCAAAAGGTGCAAAGAAAAGATGCAATTTACAGTTTTCAATTTGCTGTGGAGCAGATGCCTGCCTCAACAGAAGAAGGAGATGCAGCAGCAAAAGAAGGAGGTGCAAAAGGAGTAGAAGAAGAACTAATTGCAACGACAAAGTATAAAATCGATGAAGCAAAAATATAATGAAGAACGAACAACTACAACAACAAGAACAACAGCAACAGCAGATAGACTCAAGCAAGAAAAAAAGACGAAGAGAGAGGGAAATGGAGATGGAGAGATAGCGAGCGCAGAAAAAAATACATATGGATGGACAGAGAGAGCGAGAGAGAGAGAAGCGAATGCGCGTTAAACAAATTGCAACAATTTTTACCCACAGAGCAGCAGCAGCAGTAGCAGCAGCGGGACAGGTAGAGTAGGGGACGGGGCCAGCCTGTTGGCCTGCTGCCTACAGACACACACACACACATAAACATACACACATATATATAGCAGAGACATACACACACACATATGCACATTAAGCAAGCAAGCAACGTGGGCGCCTACAAGTGGGTGGGTGGGGGGTTAGGGGGGTAAGGGGAGGCAAGGGCTGCATGCCAAACAAACAGTGCAAATTGCCAAAAAGAGAGCGCACACACCATGCACAAAAAGAGAGCGGGACCAGAAGAGTGGAAAAGAGTGCAAAAAATTGAGAGCGTGCATTTGTCGGCAACTGTCGCTCTCCATATCTTGCGTTCGCTCTCTCTCTCTCTCTCGCTCGCTGACTCCCTCTCTCTTTTGCTGCTGACTATTGGCACTGAAGAAGACGAAGAA